CTTTGTTCTTGTTCCTTAAAAAGTCAAAGCAAACAGGAAAACCTTTGAAGTTCAGGTATGTAACAACAACAACAAAAAAACCGAGTCAGTGACAAGTGGCCTTTTCTAGTTGTACAATGTCAAGTCTTGAAATAATATTTTCTGGAGTAAACATTTTCAGGAATGTTCAGTACCAGATTGTTTGCATAGCCAGCAGGGCACTGTGATTACCTGCAGTAGAAAATCTTTTTTTCTGAAGTGGCCTGGTGCTTCCATTGAAGGCAAAACATGATTTGTTGTGACACTAAGTACAGAGTAAAAATGCTTCCTCTACCTGGGAGTGCTAAGCATCCACATGTTCACATGTTCTGGGGCTCGCTGTCATCTGCCGTGTGCTGTAATAACTCTTAAAGAAGTAGATTATGTGTCTTCAAAGACAGAAAGATGCCAGAGGACAGATGAAACAGATGCTTTGCCAGCTTCTAATAGCAGCAACATTGCTTCAAGAATTTTCCATCAGTTTGTGCACGCTGCAGACACATATTGGAAAGGGATATTCTGAAGTTTATAGTCATTCCTTAACATTATGAAAGAGGATCATTATTACACAATTCAGTAGTTTCTGCAAGGTAACAGCTATGAAGACACCGGACCCCAGAATTTTGGAAAAAACCTTTCTGTTCTGATTGCTTGATCCTTAACCCCCTGGAAGACAGCTGTGTGCTGGGGGCAGAGGTTGGCATATAGCTGTGTGAGGAAAGCTGAGGGGATTTGGTGCCTTCTTTTATGTATTATGTATGAAAAATAATAATCTTGGAGGCTAGAGAGATTGCTCTGTGTTTAAAAGCACTGACTTCTCTTGCAGAGGACCAGGGTTTGATTCCCAGCACCCACATGGCAGATAACAACCACCATATCTCCAGTTCCGGGGGATCTGATGCTCTCATCTGACCTCTGCAAGGCATTGAACAACATGTGTGTATTTACACACATGCAGGCATTACACTCATACACATAAATTTAAAAATCTAATAAAGTAATAATAATAATAGTAATAACCTTACAATTTGGAACCTGTCAGTAAAACATGAAAAGTACAGAAATGAAAGATGATCATCAATTTAGGATCAATCTGTGAACTGTCCAGTCAAGAAATCCAGAAAAGTTCCTTAATAGTAGTGCCCTCTAAGACTGTTGCTTAATACTCTTTTCTCAGTCTGTAGAGCAGAGCTTGGCACACAGTTCTCTCTGAAATTTCCATTAATAAATGTGTGAATTGATGGGGATTTATGTTAGGTAGTGAAAATAACAGTGGCATCTAAACAAGACATACCCTTTCAAATTTTAGGTAGAATTGGGGCATATCTCACTATTATCATTCTGAGAGACCCCATTCTTCTGTGCAATATAAAAATTACTGAGACTTGGGGCTGGAGAGATGGCTGAGCAGTTAAGAACACTGGTTGTTCTTGCAGAAGACCCAGGTTAAAATCCCAGCACCTACATCGCAGTTAACAACTGTCCCTAACTCCAGTTTCAAGGGATCCGACAGCCTCCTCTGTCCTCCGTGGACACTGCATGACACGGATGCACTTAACTACATGCAAGCATGCATACACATAAAATAAAAATAATAAATAAAAAAAATTACCGAGACTTTTATAAATAAATAAGCCAAATGGCATAGAGTGCAAGGCACTTAGTTCTTTGTATCTAACTTAGTAAAATTCAACCTTCTCTGATTGAGTTATCAAATATAGTACGAGTCCAGAGAAACACATGTCATGGACAGTGTAAAGGGAATACACAGCAAACATTATTCAGAACCACGACCTCTGAGAAATTTCACTCCAGATAGTCTCTAATGTAAAAAGAAAGTATTTTAAATGATATAAATATAAAAATGTTTTGAAATGAGATAAATATAAACATTTCTTCTTTTGTTATTTTTAAGGCAGTTTCACATAGCTCAGACTGGCCACAAACATTCTCTGTATCCAAAGCTGGTCTGGAACTTCAGCTCCTCCTGCTTCCACCTCTAAAGATCTGGAATTCTTGATTCTCCTGCCTCTGCCTATCAAGAGCTAAGAATACATTCAAATGCCACCACACCTGGATTTAACATTAACTCTTTCAGAACTATGTACGTCTAAACACCACCGGGAGACTAAATAGAACTAAAAGTCAGTCATTCATTTTAATAGTTTTTGAGATTGTTTTCCGTTCACATTTTTTTTTTCTGGCAGGCCAATACAGTCTTTATAAGTTGGTCTTGGAAATGTTTTGTGAAATTAAGGTTTCTAGATGGTAAGAGACTCATAATACTCATAAAAATTCATGATGGGTGCTGATAAGAATGTTGACAAGATAGGTACACACAGATAGGCAGAAATATGCCCACACTGCAGCTGCAGAAAGAACCTAAGGCAAAGTGAACCCTGCTTCAGAGGAAAAGGGCACACAGTAAAGACAACCTAAAGAATCCCTGGGAGTGTTTGCAGAATCAAAGGCCTGAGAGCCCCACAAACTAAAGATCTCTGAAGCCCTCAGCCTGTGCTTAACCTGCACTGCTGCACATGGCACCACACGTCAGCACTCTTGCTGCACACCACACCATTCCTGCATTCCTGCTGCACACCACACCATTCCTCCAAGCTCCTCTCCTCACCACCTTCCTTTCTTGGTGTTCACTTTGAGCTTACTCTGAGCATTTGTCATTTTAATTTCTGCTGCTTTTTGGGTCTGGGTGGCAGAGATAGCTCCTCAGTTTTCTACCAGAACCTGTGCTTATCTTACCTTATCAGAATTGCCAGTCTAAAATTAATATAAAAGGGGTTCTAGAAGGTTCTTGAGGTATTGCAAATGTCTTTTTTAGTAGAGCCCATGGACACTCTCCAGAGACATTTCAGAGCCAGGAATCACTGCCCCACTCAGAGCACAGGGAACTTTAAGCTCCTCAGAAAGAGGGGAAAAAGCCCCTGTGAGGGAACATCCACCAACCTTCCACCATCCACACATGGCCACCTCACTCAGACCTCAGGGACTCAGTTTTCCTATTTGGAAAATTGGAAATAAGCATATACTAACAAAAATAATAAAAGCCTAAATTATTTTATAATCTATAAAATATTTCTACTTTTTGGTGCTTGTTAGAAGTCAAAATTATGAACTGGACCACTTTTATTTAAGTCTTTAGAAAAGTAATTCAGGATGAACATTCTATTGCTTGTAATTGTAAATTTTTAAACATTTACAAAACTTTTCTTTGTAATCTTTATGTAAAACTCCTACACTATGTGTTAAGTTGGATCCACTTCCTAGCAGCTTGACATTAACTGGTCTGCACTCAGAAGGAGAGAGAAAGCATCCATCAATAGTGAATCAGTATTCTGCAATCCCTCCTGCAGTCAGCTGTCACTTTTCTCGGCTTGGTGGGCAAAGGGCCATTGGCAGAGCTGCCAAACCTAAGTCCTCCCACTGCAGTTTTTGTCCATTTCCTTTTATTTTATTCACCATGGGAAAGAACAACAGCTGGATACACCAATTTACATAATAACCTCTCCTGCTCAGAGACTGTGGAAGGTCAGGTCTCTCTGTTCTTACTAATGCATCTCAGGCAAAAAATCTCATTTTTCTTTTGTTTCTTCCAGATCAATAAATCTGTATTTAGACCAAAGATATACGTCTTTTAAAGTTTTTGATTGCTTGACTATAGTTGTAGAAAATGTTTAAAGAAAGAAAAACAATTAAGAAAAAACCCTGTTCCTTTTATGAATGAATCATTTGGCTAATGTTCTACAGTGGTTTAGAGATCTTTCTCCTACCATATATTACTGAAATTTTCATAGCTTATCAAATTCAATTAAGATATAATAATTGGCTATCAAAGGGAAATTTAAGGATTAATTTTTTTCTGACTGTACTGTGGGAAATTCTATAATTTTAATAAGAATTAATGTACACAAACTTCTAGCCTATGAAAAACGCTGTCTTATATGAATGAGCCAAGAAGATATTTATCTTAGTATATTCCAAATGAGAATTAGATCCAACTCATGGTAGAGTTGTAGAACTTCCTAAATTCAGTGAAGTGTCTTAATTTATAGTTAAGTAACAGAGAGGCACTCTTAACAAAATATCTAGAATTTACCTTTACAAACTTTATTGTAATAATAAAATCTTGAATTGATGAAGGTAGCTTACAATTTACCTCAAGTAAGAAAAGCACATAAAATTTAAATTTTGAAATATTTCTATAAACTATACAAGCCTGTTCACAGACAAGAAAATCCCTTAGTTAAAAGTCCCTGAACATTTCAGTAAAGTAACAAGACACAAAATCATCATACAAAAGGTAGTATTCATTCTATACATGAAAAATGAACTCACTGAAATGAAGTCAGGGAACCAATTCTATTCACAACAGCTTCAAAAATAAACTAGTTGATAAAATACCTAGGTATAAACTTAACCAAAGATTTCAGACCTTTGCCATGAGAAATATAAAACACTAAAGAAAGAAAGTATAGGAGAGTAGATGGAAAGACTCCCATCTGAGTTCATGGACCAACAAAATACTTACTGTTCTATTGGCCATGCTGCTGAAAATCACACACTTATCAGAGTTGCAGTGACATTTCTATTCATTTTCTATTCACAGAAATATTTTTTAAAAATCCTAAAATTCATTTGAAGACACAAAGCACCCTGAATAGCTAAAGCAATCCTGAGCAAAAAGAGCATATCAAAGGATGCAATAGAATCATAGAAACAAAACACAACCCACAGACAAGAGAAGAGGTAAACTAAGTAACCATTTGATTTTTGGCAAAGATATGAGAAACCTATGTTAGAATAAAAAATCCTCTTTAACACAAGTTTGGGGGGAATTGGACACTTACATGTAAAGGACTGAAACTGTATCCCTATATCTCATCTGTATGAAAATCAATTAAGGTGAATATAAAGTCTAAATGTAGGGCCTGAAATTTTAAATGTTGGAGGAAAATGGAAATACTTCAGCACACTTTGGAAGCGCATGTACTTAAACTGGAACTATACAGAGAAGATTAGCATTGCCATGGACTAGGATGGCATGCAAATTCACCAGCACTCCATAGTTTTCTGTTGATAAAGACAAACTCGATTATATGACCATGAAACAAAAACAGATCTATGCAAATACACCTACTTACAGAACAGGGCTCCAGTAGCTCAGGAAATAAAAATTCACAAAAGTGAGTGTTCTAGTTAGCACCTACTGCTGTGATAAAACACTGACCAAAACCAACTTGGAGGTTAAAGGCTTTATTTTCCTTATACATCATGGTCCATCATCAAAGGAAATCAAGGCAGGAACTCAAGGCAGGAACCTGTAACTAAAGCACAGACCACAGAGGAACACTGCTTAATGGCTTGTTCCTCTGGCCTGTGTTCAGCCTGCTTTCTTATGTAACCCAGGGCCACCTACACAGGGCTGGCACCACCCAGAGTTGGTTGTGCCCTCCCACATGAACCAGCAATTAAGAAAATACCTCATAAGAGATACCCAAAGGCCAATGTGATAGAGGATATTTTGCAATTGATGGCACCTCTTTCCAGGTGCATCAAGTTGACAAAAGAAACTATTCAGCACAATTGACTCACTGTCAACTTGACACACAAACACATATACATCACTGTTAAATCATAACCTTTTCATTTCTTATCCCCAAGATTTTATGTTAATATCACAATAAGCAAGTCCCATAGACCTTAAAAATCCCAATATGTTAAAAGCTCAATGTCTTTTTATAATAATCCAAAGTCTATTGACTTTAGCCTCCATCCAAGAAAAAAAGAAAAAACAAGTGAAATATTGTCTTTAAAGAGGAAAGAACCAGGGCACACTTAAGGAAAGCCAAAAATTACCACATAGACAACCAGGATTGACTCACAATCTTCTGAGCACCAAAAGACTTGGACACTTCCATTTCTCTGGCTCTGCCATTCAGAGTACACACAGCTTGTCTCATACTCTCAGGCTAGCTTGATTCCATCTCTGCTGCTGCTCTTGGTAGACATCCCATGGTCCTGGCATTGTCAATATGCTGATCTCTGTTGCAACTGAGGCTGCACCTTCACCAATGCCCTCTCCTGGTTTACATGGTTTCAAGTCTTAGATCCTCTCTATGACCCCTTCATTCCTGAGGCTCTTCATCACAACTGAGGCTGTACCTTCACCAATGGTCTTTTATGGGATCTCACAGTGTCCAGCCTCAGCTACTGTCTGTGACCCCTTTATGTCTTCAAAACCAGTACCATGTAGGAGACACACATTACCAAGTCCTGATTCCACCTTGAGACAGAGCCTCTGGCCCCCCCTGTACCATAGCTTCTGCACGCTGACCCTAAGGAAATGCTTTCCAGATTTCAACTCAACGACGCTGATCTCTTTTTAATCATAGATGATTTTTCAGCCCCAACTGACTAGCATCTTTTGTTCCAGTAAAGCAAAATTTCATTTCAGTGGTTCTAGTCTCTTGTCAATCACAGCCAATTTTTCAGCCACAGCCAATCAGAAGCTACAGATTCTCTATGCAAACTATGCCATAAGTGGTCCTGTTAGCATTGATGAACTCTCAGACTTCCCTCTGAAACTTTACAAGCCATGCCTTCATCATCTTCACCTTTCTCGACATTCTTATCTTTCAAGCTCCCACAGAACAGCCTGCTAAGCTCTAAGAACTCAATAGCTTTTCCAGCCCAAATCTACAAACACTTCCAAATCCTCCCAAAGCCATAGTCAGGTCTTTACAGCAATAGCCCACTGTTTGGTACCATTTTTTGTGCTAGTTACTTTCTATTTCTATGATAAACACCATGACCAAAATCTACTCAGGGAGAAAAGGGTTTATTTCAACCTATATCTTGGTTTTAATTTGGAGGGAAGCCAGGACAGAAATTCAGGGCAGAAACTTAGAGACAGGAACTGAGGCACAGACCATGAAGAAATATGGCTTACAAGCTTGCTTCTTTGGCCCATGCTCAGCCTTCTTTCTTATACAGCCCAGGACCATGTACTCATGGGTGACACCACCCACAGTTCACTGGCCTCACACATCAATCTACAATTAAGAAAATGCCCCACAGACATGACCACTTCATCCTTATTGGTAGCTTTCATAATACTGAAAGGTGCTATGCACAATATGGAAGAGCAACCTAATTATCTATCATAGCCAGCTATGAACCCTGTGAACTACATATAATACAGACTGGTTGCACAAATTATGCCCATTGGTGCAATAGTAGTACAAATATTCTTTGCTTGGAGTTAAGTTCTACTCCGCAGATGAAACTCATACCTGGCCCAGTTATTGGGGCCAAGAGTCTGTGGCTAGAAAGGTCATAGGCCCTAGGAGACAAACTACTGTTATTATTCTGATAAATTGGACATAGTATTAAATCAACTCCTAATGAATTTTCACTATACCCACAGACCAATTGAAGCTTCTTTTTTTCCAGAAGATAGTGATTAATAAGAGGTCCACAACTGGTTAACCTATAAATAATAAGAGACTTCAGTGTTCTCATCTCTAAATGGGGCATTTATATCACACCTCAAGTCTTGGAAAGCAGCATGGAAGAAGGGGATAAAGAATTTAACAGTCAGAGACCATGGAGAACTATAATGAAACAGTGTCTTCTTGACACAACAGGAAAATTCCACATATGAACTCACAACAGTTGGGCACAACATGCACAAGACCCACACAAGCTCAAGCCAGACAAAAATCCCAGCATGGAGAGTGGAGGTGGGCACCCTTATTTGAGGAGAATGAGCAATTGATAACTGTTAGGAGAGGGAGAGTCAGTTTTTTTTTTAAGGAAATGACCACTGGTAGGTTGATCACACTTCAAAAATTAGGTCCACACCCACAAGTATTTGGGGAACATAAATTGGACTCCATGGGCTTTAAGAAATAAAAAGAGGGAATGAAGTTGCCGTAGGGTTTAAGCAGATGGAATAGATTGGAGAAGGGGAGCGAATATGATCAAAATACATGGCATGAAATTCTCAGAAAATTAATGATGAAAGTATTATTTAAAAGAAAAACACATTAAATTGGGTCAGTAAAATGGTTGAATAGGTAAAGACACTTGCTACCAATCCTTGTGACCCAATCCTGAACCATGTGGTCAAGGAAATCCACATGGTACAAGAACTGATTCCTGAAAGTTGTTCTCTGATCCCCATATGCATGTTGTGATATGTGCTCCCCTCCCCCACAGCAAGTAAACAACTAATTGTATAAAAATACATATTAGTACTCTGATTCATTATGCGATTTGAAAAAAAGTTGAAATTGATGGAAAATGGTGATCCTTAAATTTAAAATGAACAAATCAAATTAAGCAGTCTTTCACTTCTGTATGTGATGATATAATAAAGTAAATCTCAGTGGACTAGACTCTACTTTAAAATGAAAGTTATACCATGAAGGAGACACATGTTTTCATACCAGTTTTCAGGAAACATTCAGAGCAAGATGCATATGAATTATGAAATATTTGTATGGTGAAGTTTAACTTATTGCTTGTTCCATGCATATAACATATCAAAGAAAACAAATCTTTTGATTGAGTTATTTGAAACGGAAAGGATTTGACTTAACTTCATATATGACAGAATATCTCAATAAGCAGTGGACATGGATTTTTCTATCTTATTATAAAAAGCATATATGAAAATAATTGCTTATGTACTTAATTGTTAGAATTGAATGTTTTACCTTAGAGATGTAGGAAATAATTGCTAACACAGTATTTTCCCTTAGAGATGTAATAAATGAAGGACACCTACTTTTTACCTTTTTTGTTCAAGGTTACTGTACATAGTATGATTGGAAATAGTAAGAAATAAAAACATGAAAACTTGAGAAGAAATAAAATTAGTGCTGTCAGTAGATTATGTATGAAGGAAATTCTAATGCATGCACGATGAAGGTACAAAATCTATTGGTTGAATTTAGCAATTTGCATTTATAAAATTACAAAATAACAATTATGTAGGAATGGGGGGTTAAGGAAAGATCACTAAAGACCTCCTCATAGAAACTCCTAAAATATTGTGAAAAACTAAAAAAAAAAAAAATCATCTAAATAGTGAACTGCACCAACTTCTTGAAGAAATACATACCATTGCTAAGGCCATTCTTCACTAAGAGCTGCAGATTCAACACAATGCCTGTCAAAATTCTAGAAAATATCTTCATCAGCATTAGAGATGCTTTCAAAATTCATGTAGACATGCAAGCAAATTTAGAAAAACACAGTTATAAACCCATAACTAATTTCAAGAGATTTGAGGAGTAGTACTGTACAAGATTTATGAGACTTTTATAATGATAATTATATGAATGTAATTGAATAAAGTACATGAAACCCACACATATGTGCATTTTTCTGAAAACAAAGACTTCAAATATTTTTTAAGTTCTATTGAAACAAATGGTTCCAAAAGGAAAATAACAAGTATTGAGCAGCACTTAAAACTATGCAGAAAATAATTCTCAATAAATAATATATTTAAGTAAAAATACAAAAATTTAGGTGAAAAACTAGAACTCATACTTCATAGTCGAGGTTGATGGTGCACACCTGCAGTCTCAGTGCTTGGGGTGCTAAGAAAATAGGATCAAGTTCCCTGGCCAGCCTGAGCTAAAAGTTGAGTTCAAGGCAGAACTGTAGAGGGAAACTCTGTTTCAAACAAAACAAAAAAGAACAAAGCAAATTTTTCTGATCTTGTTAAAAACCTATATTTGAGTCCCCATAACAGGTTTATAACTAAGGTGAATAAATGGTACCAAGTAAATGTTGTCCTAGGGTCAATGAGTAAACAAACTGTAAAAAGGTTATTATACTTTAATGTTATTCAGAACTAAATAAATAATGGATCATAACACGAATAAAATTAAATAGTGCAAAAGCATGTACTTTATTTTTCCACTTATATGAATACTAGTGAAAGTTAAAAAGTAATAGTCAGGTGAAAAAAAAGGTATCTGAAAGTTCTTTGAAAAAAGTAAGGTATCAGTTTGCTGTTGGAGAATACTTTCTCTGTCATGTAAATATTTAATATCT